GTGATAAGCACTCAGTTAAGTGTACCTTAAAATTCATCACAGAATCCATACTGGTGAAAAATTTTATCCAAGGAAATTTACGAGGGGAAACATTCATTAAGGAAAGTTTGATCATAGCTCAGCATGTCCCAGTGGTCTGAGGACCACATAATAGAGCCTTCTTGTAACTGGTGAAGTAAGGGTCTTATTCAGAAGTATCAAGAAAATGAAACCTGCAGAAAATAACTTGGGGGAACAAACTTGAATTAAAATGCAGAATGCACACAGTACTGCAATCCAGAGCATTAATTTGAATATTATCTTACTACACTTGTCTCCTAGCCTCTCCCCATTCTGAATCTTTTGAATTTTTCTCATACTAAGACTGAAAGATTTTAAACAAAAGCAAAAACAAATGACTAAATGGTTTTGTTAACTGCAATAATATACTACAGCATATTTCATAGTTTTCGGTAGTGTTAATACAAGATTTACAGTAACAGTCTGAAAGATTGTGATGTAGTTACTTAATCCTGAGTTGATAATGACTTATACTTAATTTTTTATACTTCCAGGCAGTGACTGTATTTTGATGAGATTGTCTTCTGTTTGCTATAGTATTTATTTTAATCAAACTTGTCAGGTCATAACTATGCAAAAATGGAAGGACATTTGTCAAATTCCCTACCCCATATTTTTGCTCTTTCCCTATGAATAAGTACTTTGAAAACTGGAGTTTGGTAATTTCATCAAATATATTCATTATTGGGGTGGGATTAAAATTTATGTGGTCTTTGTTGGCGGCAGTAAAAGTATGTCTTTTGGATAGCAGTATGTGTCAGAAGTATAATCAGAAATCAAAGAATGGGAAGTTATAATTTTATGAGGTTAAAGTACCAAAAGGTAGAACACCATATTGATGATGTTATTCCCCCCTTTCCCCCCAAATACTAGAGATTGAACGCAGTCCCAGTGGCACTCTACCACTGAGCTATATCCCCATCACACTTTTTAAAATATTTATGTTTTTAGTTGTAGTTGGACACAATATCTTTTTTTTTATGTGGTGCTGAGGATTGAACCCAGGGCCTCACACGTGCTACGTGAGTGTTCTACCGCTGAACCACAATCCCAGCCTCTATCCCCATCCCTTTTAAGAGCTAAGACAGAGGTTGTACTCCAACTTGTGATCCTCTGCCAGATCCTTTTGAGTAGCTAGTATTACAGGTGTGTGCCACTGAGCCTGACTTGTAACTCCATTTTTATTTTTCACTTTTTGGTAATGGGGATTGAACTCAGTGTACTTAACCACTGAGCCACATCCCAACCCTTTTTATTTTTTGAGACAAGAGTTTTCATAGCCTAGATGAAATAGGCAAATTCCTAGGAGCAAAATCTGGCAACACCGAATTTTGAAGAAAGGATATCTAAGTCAACCTGTAACTAATAAAAGATTGCATCTGTAATTAAAAACTCTTCATAGGCTGCAGTTGTAGTTCAGTGGTAGGGCAATTTCCAGGCAAGTGTGAGGCACTGGGTTTGATACTCAACACCACATAAAAATAAATAAAATAAAGATACTGTGTCCGTGTACAACTAAAAAAGTTAAAAAACAAAAAAATGGGCTTGGGTTGTGGCTCAAGTGGTAGCACGCTCGCCTGGCATGTGCGCAGGTCTCTGGGTTGAATCCTCAGCACCATATAAAAATAAAGATGTTGTGTCCACCAAAAACTAAAAAATAAAATTTAAAAAATTCTTTCTCTCTCTCTTAAAAAAAAAAACAACCCAGCTCTTCACAATCCAAAGAAAACCCATCCATTACCAGATGTCCTCTGGTGAATTCTACCAACATTTAAGGAATATTTACTGCCATAACTATCAAAACTCCTCCTCCCCAAATCACATGGGTAGGCTCTTCTTTGTTCATTCTATGAGACCAGTGGTACTTTGATTCCAAAGCTGTAGACATTAAAAGAAAATTATAGAGCCATATCTTTTGTGAATACTGATGCAAAAACCCACAACAAAATACTAGAAAAACCTGGTTGAGGTTGTGACTCAGTGGCAACATGCTTGCCTTGCACATGTGAGGCACTGAGTTTGATCCTCAGCACCACATAAAAATAAACAAAAATAATGATATTATGTCCATCTATTAAAAGTACTAGAAACCCAAATTCAGGTGCATATTGAAAGGAATATATTCAATGACCATGTGGATTTATATCTGGTAAGTGGTACATATATGCCACTTAAACAGAATGAAAAATAAAAATTGCATGATCTCAGGCAGAAGACTCACTTCAACACTATTTCATGAGTAAAACAAGCCTCAACAAAATAAGAATAGAAGGAACTATTCACAAATAAATAAAAGGTTCATATTGAAAAACTTGCCAGTTATCAGACTAAATGGTGGGAGACTGAAAGTTTTTCCTCTAATGGAACACAGTAGGGTTGCACTGCTTTCTCCAAATTCATTCAGCATAGCATTGGAAGTTCTAAGAGCAACAGGTAGAATAATTTGTTATTTGAATGCTTTGGCATTCAAACTGGAAATAAAGATGTGAAACCATCTCCACTTCCAGATGATATGCTGTAAATATATAAATGTTCTATAGCTGGGGGCTGTGGTGGCACATGCCTATAATCCCTGCAACTCAGGAGCTGAGGCAGGAGGATTGCAACTTCAAGACCAGCCTTAGCAATTTAGGAAGGCCCTAGGCTACTTAGTGAGACCCTGTCTCAAAAAACAAACAACCCCCCCCCAAAAGGCTGGGATGTTGCTCAGTGGTTAGGCACCCCTGGGTTCAATCCTCAGTACCAGAAAACAAGCCACCCCCCCCCAAAAAATCTATAGAATACATAAGAAAAACCAATTATGAAATCAGGGAAATTAGAGTATTGTGAGTTCAAAGCCAGCCTCAGTAACTTATGAAACCTAACCTACTCAGTGAGACCCTGTCTCTAGATATTTTAATAAGGGCTGGAGGTGGGGTGCTAGAGTTGTGGCTCAGTGGTAGAGTGCTTGCCTGGCATGTGTGAGGCTCAATTCTCAGCACCACATATAAATAAGTAAATAAAATGAAGGTACATCAGCAACTGAAAAATCTTTTAAAGTAATAAAAATAAAAAGGGCTGGAAAGGTCGTTAAGTGCTCTTGTGTTCAATCCTAAAAATAAAAGAAGAAGAAGAAAATCCAAATGATATACATATAACTTGTGATAATTGAATTTGCTAAGTTTAGTGGTACAAGATCCAGTGTAATTTCATTAGAAGTAGTTATAATATTATTGTCTTCTGATTCCCATCTCAAAGGTGAAGTTTTCATCATTGCCTCATTATTAAATTTTTATGCAATGCATTTTAGTTTTGTTCATTTTTTTCTAGAACTATATTTCATAAATGTACAAATAACTGTTACAATGTTGTTAATAATATCCTACAATTTTCATTGATGTTCTCTTTTATATTTCTGGCCTTGGTAATTTTTTTTATGTCTTTTTTGCAAGGTCATTCTCACTACTATTGTCATTTAATGGTTTTCTCAATAGGTATGTGTGTGTGTGTGTGTGTGTGTGTATAAACTTAATTTCATTTATTTTACAATTTATCAATCTGCTCTTAAGTATTCTGCCATTTTCTTTTTTGGTTTTGTTATTCCTTTATGAAAGTCCTGAGATGGATATTTTTCCCTAATTGATTATTAGTTTCCCTTCTATTTTAATATACCAATTTAAAGCTCAACATTTCCCTCTGTATATCTGATTTTTGTGTTTCTTTTGGTGGTTCTGTCCATTTTTGCTTTATAAAATATTAGCTTATACTTTATGGTAACTTGAGCCTTTTAATCATTATAAAGGGTCCCTGAATGTTAATTATTTATTTATTTATGATGTTGGGGATTGAACCCAGAGCCTTGTGGTGGGAGGGAAGCACTCTACCAACTGAGCTATTTCTCCAGCGGCCCCCCCACACACACTATTTTTTTCCTTTAAGTTCATTTGCTTAAGCATTAGTGTAAGAAAAATTTAAATTATAGAAATAATTTGAAACCTGGGATGATAGTATTTTTATTGAGAGAAGATTTTTATTTACTTTTGTGAGGGCCAGAAAATGCTAACAAAATACATCCACCATCATGCAGTTTCAGGGATTTGGTACTTTGGTATCAGTCCCTTCTAGAGAAGTCCTAATTCCCTTTTCCCAATACTCCTGAGGAGAAGGTCTTTGATGGTTACCAAAGGAAATGAACTCCTATTCCTTGAAAATGACCCCTTCAATAAGTCTGCTTCAGTTCATTCCAGATCTTATACAACACCATAACTGGCTAGCTTATAAAGAACAGATCTTTATTCCTCACGGTTCTGGAGGCTAGGAAGTCCAAGTTCAGGGTGCCAGGGGATTCAGGGTTTCTGAGGGTTCACTTCTGGTTCATAGGTAGTTCCTTCTAGTGATTTCTTCATGTAACTGAAAAAGCAAATGAGCTCCCTCGGGACACTTTACTGACAGTACTGATCTAATTCACGAGGAAAAGCTCTCATGATGCAATCACTCCCAAAGGTCAGCTTCCTAATACCATTATCTGGTGGGTTTGATTTCAACACATGAATTTGGGGGTGGGGACGGTGACACAAGCATTGATATCACAGCCAATATCTAAAGCCTAGTCTGCTTCTCAGTCTTCTAAGAATCTACAGTCTTCTAAGACTGACACACAACAATGAACAGACATTTGCCCAAAACCTTCTCAGCGATTTCTGGGAAGTGAAAACTAGGAGGGCAGAGTATTTGGATACTTCTGCTCCAGGGAACCTGACTTCGTCTCTCGGGAAATGTAGTCCAGGACTGAAGTAATGTGGCTGGTTTCCCGCCTAGGACCTGTAGTCTAAGCTCAGAGCACTTCGCGTACTTCCGTTTCTAAGCCCTTCCTGTAAACGGGCCCTCTCCCCCGCGGAATCCTGGGAAGCGTAGTCCCGGAACTCCTGTACTCGCAGGCTCTTCCAGTGGGGGAAGGCAGTTCTGGGAGTTCTGGGCTGAGCAGTGTAGCCCAGGAGCTTTTGGTAGTCGTTGGTACTTCCGCTCCAGGAGGATGGCGTAGCAGCCATCTTTTCTCGGGCTTTAGTGGTTTTGATCTTCTTCCCTGAAACCTTTCGAATGTCTCCTGAATGTACTTGGGAACAACACTTAGCAGTCTTTCGTTTGGGGAGGACCGGTTGACAGCGGACGTTTCCGAATGGCGTTTTGCGTTCTCTAGGGCGGAGCTTCCTTGAATTGGGGGCGTACCTGGGTCGACTGAGTTTGAGGGTCTCCTGGGGGCTCGCGCCTCCTGCCCGACTCGCCCACCTGCGAGCCTGACCTGCAGCTTCAGACGGTCTCACCTCGGACCGCCTAGTTAACCCCTTTGTGCTTTTGATTGTTCTGTAAAAGGAAAATACAAGTTACACCTTCAAATGATGGAATATTTTGAGAAAAACGTGGTATACTACAAAAGATTTAAAACTGCCTGGTACATGGATTTTTCTTGATACTACTAGAAATTTTCCGAGAAGCGCATGTTTCTGGACTTCATCTGTCGGGAAATGTAGTCCAGGACTGAAGTACTGAGCGTCCTGAGGTCTGGAAGCAACTGCATTATCCCTAAACCATTGACCTTTTAAAGAAGGAGAGTGTTGCTTCTAGCTGGTCTGGAAGATGTGACTGTGACTGATTGGAGGTGGAGACACAACCCTGGTTTTTCACAGCCTCCTTTTCTTCACTATTCCTGACTTGTCCAAAAGCACTGCAGAAGAGAAGAGGCCGCAGAGCCCCACGTGAGTAAGACTTGTCATTCCACAAATGTCACATAAATCTGAGAATGTGTTACAGTTAAAGCCTAAGTTTCCAAGTTCCATTCCAAATGCTTTATACAGATGAAGCCTTTCAGAGTGCTTTGTGAAGTGGTACCGCTATTTTTCCTACTGTGAAGATGAGGAGACTGAGAAACAGGGAACGTAACCTGTTTGCCCATGGTCCATTGCTAGTAGGTGGCAGGAATAGCATTGGATCCTAAGCAACGTGAATCCAGATCTGAGCTCATCCTGTCTTTGGTATGGTCTCTCTGGGTCATAGGACTCTGGTCACTATTGAGTGGAAATAGGCCGAGACTTGAGGGGATCTTGAGAGCAAGATGTGGATTTCATTTTATTTCAAATAATATTTGTTATAGAAATAACCTTTAATCATGGAAAACATAAATTTATAAAAAACTTTAATTACCACAACTATATCATGTAAAAATAACAAATATTAATAGTTTAGTGCCTTTTTTTGTCATCATTGTGTATGTTTTTGTTTAGCAGAGGTCTTTTGGGGGGACATTAATAGTCACAGCAATGCTTTTGAGACTGGGATCCCCTAGGCATGATTGCACTCCCTTATCATCCCAGCTGCTCTGGAGGCTAAGGCAGAAAGATCACAAGCTCAAGACCAGCCTTTGAAACTTAGACCTTGTCTCAAAATAAATTTTAAAAAGACTGGTGATGTAGCTCAGTGGTAGGAAGCATGTTTTATCCCTCCTATGGAAAAAAAAAAAAAAAAGGAAGAAGAAATGAGTCTACAAATCAACAGCATTAGGATCACATAGTGAGAAATACCCAGCCTTAAGTCTCATCTAAGACCTTCCACTTTAGAATTTCTGTAGATGGAACCCAGAAATTGGGATTTCAACAAAATCCTAAGGTGATTCCTACACAGGCTCGGGAAAGGGACCTACTTGGAAACTCAGGCCTAAGGCAATTGATCTTGCCAAATGTCACAGTTAAAACTGAGCTGGCCACACAAGCATCCTACTCAGTCCAAAGATTTTGTTCAGAAAATGTTGTCAGTTATCGAGTCTTCTGAAAAATCCTGACATGAGCAGAAGGCAGCTAGCAAGTCTCGAGTTAACATGGAGAGAATTAGAAATGTGAAGATAAATTTTTCCTAGGATTTGGGGAATGGGTTCATTGCTCTTTTGTACCAGAGGATTTTTGTCTAAAGTGGCAAGATTGACCACTAGTTACTGTCAATTAATGCTAGATACTTTTTTTCTGTAGTCGTCATTACTATTATTACTACTGTTGTTGTTACTATAACAATTTCCTGATTTCATTAGTTTTTTATTTATTTACTTATTTTGGTGTTGGGGATTGAACTCAGGGGCACTTGACTACTGAGCCACATCCCCAGCCCTATTTCATATTTTATTTAGAAACAGGGGCTCACTGAATTGCTTTGTGCCTTGCCTTGCTGGCTTGAATTCACAATCCTCCTGTCTCAGCCTCCCAAGCCATTGGTATTACAGGTGTGTGCCACCACACCTGGCTAGTTTTTATTTTCATATAAATTTTAAACTTTCAGAAAAGTTGCAAAACACTAAAAGGAAATCTCATACTCAACTGAGATTCACTAGTTGTTTGCATTTTGCCTATTTTCTCTGTTGGTAACCATGAGCCAAATAACACCAGGAACATATCTGTAACCAAAGGCATTTAATTTTATTTTAGCTTGCTGCAACAAGGGAACCCACACACTGTTGGGAATCAGGCCTGGGGTCTCTTGGTAAGAGGCAGTTAGGAGGAGCTGGTTGTAGCGTTTTGACTTGTATAAGCTGAGATGGGGAGAAGTGTAGGCAGTGAGTTTGTTCTGGATTTGATGATGTCAATAATCAGAAGTAATTTGATGACCAAGTATTCTAATAATTTTTCCCTAGGAGGTGGGAGAAACCAAACAGATTAGAGTTTTCACTAGTAATGAAGTGGTCACTCATGTTAGTCAGGAGAAACAGTTATTTGGTTATTTTTTGTTACTGTAGAATGTGCCTCTGTGTTAGAATGTCTTCTTTTCTTTCTTGTGCATCACTATCACTGAATGGCCTTGCCTCATTTTTGTTGGTCAGCTGGAAACATCAAGTATTGGCCCTTGCCACTACTAGCTATTAGAGCTTTTTTTTCTCTTTTCTACAGCTTTATGTATATGTACGTATACATATGTGTTTGTATACTTATATATACACATTTTTTCCCCAACTACTAAAACAAACTGGAGACAATGATTAAAATGAAATTAATTACATTGATAGCATACTGTTATCTAACTCACAATTCATACTTAAATTCATTCAACTTTCTCAATAAAGTTGTTGTTCTCAGAGTCTTTGAGAACACTTCACCCCCAGGTCAGAGATTAGCCCAGTTTTATTGCACATTGCACATAAGTTTTTTATTGCATTGAACATAAGTTTTTGTTTCATTAGTCACTTTAATCTAGAATGATTCCTCAGACTTTTTCTTTTTTTGCTTTGGATATTTTTGTAAAGTATTGGCAAAGTATTTTGTGGAATGTCCCCACTCTTTTTAGTTTATTTGGTATTTGTTCATGATAATCAGGCTGTGTATTATCAGCAGAAGTGCCACAGAAGTGAGCAGGCTTCCTTCTCTGTGCATGATGTAAGTCAGATGTCACTCAGTGGTGGTCTCAGGTTTGTTCTTTTGGCTAAGGGCCAATACTTGATGTTTCCAGCTAAACAACAGGTTATCTTTTTCCTCAATACTTTGAGATTATGTAGCTATCTTTTTCCTCACAAACGTCAACCAACTTTTAGCACTCATCAGTGATTTTCTAGTTATTTTTTATTCTAAATGTATTAGTGTATGTGTTTTATAGAAAGGACTTTTTCTCTTCTCATTTATTTGTTACACATTATTTATAACAATATGAACTCAGATTTCTATCTTTCTCACTTAAACAGAGTGTAGATTGTCACACTTTTTATTGCAATATCTTAATTTTATCAGTTTCTTTACCTCTATGCATATGTGCTAAAAGGGTACTTCCCACTTAAAAAGGAATAGCAAAGGCTGGGGGTGTGGTTCAGGAGTAGAGCATGTACAGTGTCCTGGGATAAACCCCTGGAACCACAAAACCAAAAGGAAACATCACAGATTTCTATACTTTTTAAAGTTTTCCTAATCAATTTAAATACTGTTGTTGGTCTTCGAGTATACTTTAGTGGTAAAGTATTTGCTTAACATTCATGAAGCTTTAGGTACAATCCCCTGCACAGAATAATAATAGTAATAGTAATAGTAATAATAATAATATTGTTGTTGGGGTAGCAAATTATTAAAGACAACCAAATATTTTTTAGAAGTTTTAAGAGATTTTCACATCGAAGAGGGCAACAACATGTGAGCTCCGTGTATCTTAAAATATTTGGAGCAAGTACCTTTGCTTATTTGCAAGGAGCAACCACATGGGTTAGTTACATACTTTCTCAGTTTCTGATGATTTCTCTCTTTTTCCAGTTCTTCTTCTTAGGACTCTGCACTCCCTGGAAAGATAAATTAAAGATGAACACATTCAAGGTGAGTAGAACTTACCTTTCTCACTACTAAAAGTGCCTCTTTAAAAAGTGCTCAGAGATTGGAAGTGTTTCAAAGCAAGTCAAGTCATGAGGAGCTGCAGAATGTACCAGGTGCTTGTTTTGTCCTTTTTAAGTTTAGCTGGTTGGTATTAGTTCTTGTTTTATTTCATTTTTTACTTTACAAATAAAAGTCTATAGATTAATGGACAGGTATGCTCATAGTTATATGTTTCTGTTCATAACAGATACAATTTTACTTAATCTCATGTATTCTTTTTCTATGCTGGGAGTCAAATCCAGGGCATTGTGCATGATAGGCAAGCTCTCTGCCACTGAGTTATATCCCCAAGCCCCTAAATGCTTCATGTTTTCTATTTTTGTTGTTGTTGTTGTTTAATGTTATACAAATTTATTTTTAATTGCTTTACTAAATTTCCACCAAATTTATATACCCAGTTCTTAAACTATTCTCTATGTAAACATTTATTTTAGTTAGCACTTTCACTGTTTCAAGAACACTATAGTGAACAGTGTTCCTACATTTAGCTTTTTCTGAAAAGTCAATTTTGAAAAATACTGCAGTTTTAAAGGGATTCTTAATATACTAGGTGTTCAGAATTGAAAAGATATGTCCTACATGTGGTACTTTAGATATTTTGGGTAGATTTAAATACAGCCCAATGCATCAGATTTGACTACTGCTTCACATAGAAAAACATTGCTCAACATTTTCTTACCACAAGATTTAGATTCTGTCTTTCCCATGCCTGAGTCATACTCTGGGTATATTTCATTTACTGATCTATTTTTTTTCCTCTGTGGGTTTGGTACTAGCAATTGAACCCAGGGGCGCTTGACCACAGAGCCATATCCCTATCTCTTTTTAAATTTTTTTAGATTTTGAGACAGAGGCTGACTATGTTGCTGAAGCTAGCTTTGAATTTGGAATCCTCCTGCCTCAGTGTCTTGAGTTACTGGGACGTGTGCCTGGCTTTTAAATTTTTCTTCTTTTTTTTTTGTCCAAGTAATATATGACATTAATGTAAAAAGTCTAATGTAAAAAGTGGCACTAGAGAACTTGCCAGGCACTTATGCTCTATCACTGCATTTATGCCTCAGAGCAACTGTATGAGGAGGTACTGTGTTTCCTCTTCATTTTAAACATAAATAAAAGTGGCTGTGAAAAGTATTCACATGGAATACTAAAGATCTAAGGTGAAGGTATCAGGTTCTAGTAAAAGATGGAGAGACTTGACATTCCCTTTGGTTTATTTCAACCTATACACTATTTAAAGTCATCTGGCTCCGACCTCAGTGGGAAGGCAGCTGCTATCAGGCACTGTTGGAATTTAATTGATGAACAATTCTGAGGAAATTGGAAATCTTAATTAAAATGTTTACATTTACATCCATTAGATTTCTAGGGAGCTTACTTATTATAGTATAAGCACCAGGTCTCTTTTTCATAGTAGCATTCTTGGTAAGGCTGAGGAAAATCAGTGTATGGCATCAATGAGATAGAAGGAAAAGGGCTGGGAAACCTACACATGGCTCAGAGTCCAGTGAAACCTCCCACCCATTATTTCTCTCTTCTCAGTGCTGTCCCTCGTCCAGTGGACACTGTAAGATTGAAGTCATGTGTGTGTGTTGTAGGAAGCTGTGACTTTCAAGGATGTTGCTGTGGCCTTTACTGAGGAGGAGCTGGGACTGCTGGATCCTGCCCAGAGGAAGCTGTACCAAGATGTGATGGTGGAAAACTTCAGGAACCTGGTCTCAGTGGGTGAGGCCTCCCTCTCAAATAACTCTTGTGACCTTGGCATTTTAATGCTTTGATGCTCTTGAAATAGTTCCCAGACTTTCCTAATTCCTGTGGGCTATAGAAGCAGGATGTTTCTGATTTTTAAAGAATGATACATGGACAGTATATTACTATTCCTTGCCTATTCTTTTTCAAATTTTGCTTCTGTCCCATTATTGAATTTTAAAACCAATTTATTGAATCCTATCAGCAATTTTTAATTAAATAAAAGAGGGTAGGAAATATTGGTGCTCCTTAGGAAGAATGGTACACATTCTAGCAAAAACTGGCCAACTGCATGAATGGTGTAAGGGTCAGTAGAAAGAAATTTAACAAAAACAGACATTAGATAAGTCATTCAGCTGGACATGGTGGTGTGTGCCTGTAATCCCAGCTACTTAGGAGCTGAGGGAGGAGGATCATGAGTTGGAGGCCAGCATCGGCAACTTAGTAAGACCCTGTCTCAAAGTTTAAAAAAGGGCTGGGAATGTAGCTCAGTGGTAAGAATGCTTGCCTACCATGAATGAGGCCCTGGGTTTAATCACTAGTATCTTCAAAAAAGAAGAAGAAAAGAAAAGGAAAGAAAAATATCATTCAGACTTTTTGTATTGTATGTTTTGTACACATATTTGGTTCATGAAATAAATTATATTTTGTGGTGCCAGGGATTGAACTCAGGGCCTTGTGCATGGAAGGCAAGCACTCTTCCAACTGAGCTATGTCCCAGCCCACATGGGTGATGGTTTTTTTTTTTAAAAAAAGTGTGATAAACACTATTTTCAGTGTCTTGAATATACATTTGTAACTGTTTCCAGTAAATTTTAGCTCTACCTTGTCATTTAAACTTATGACTTTGCCTGTTCATAGAGCATCAGTTCTTCAAACGAGATATATCATATGCAGAAAGAGAAGAAAAGCTTTGGATGATGAAGACAGCAACCCAAAGAGAGACAAGTTTAGGTAAGGACCAAGCAGTTTTGAATCTTTATAGTTAACTGTCCATCTCTTTTGTTCTCATCACCTCTGTTGCTGTCACCTGGTACAACTTGCAAACTCTTTCCTGGATTATTGCAGCAACCTTGGTACTGATTGCTCTCTCCCTTTCTTCCCCTTCTACAGTCTATTCTCTGACATGGCACTCAGAGTGATCCTTTGTAGCCTTAAGTTAGAGTGTGAGATATTCCTCTGCTCAGAATTCTCTTGTGGCTTATTTTACTTAGAGTAAATCCACATTTTATGGGTGTTCAGATTTATACACCTTTAGAAGACATTTCACATAGTGACACCATTATTGCTTGTGATGATTCTCTGATCATTTCTAGTCTGTTCTAAACATTTATCACTAGCTATTAAATTTTTTGCGCATTTTACTAATGGTCTGAATTTATCAGTTTGGAAAACATTCTTGTCAAAGGCAAATGTCTCTGCATCTAAAATTTTCTGTACTTTGCTTTCAAAGAGTCAGCATTCTTCTTGCCTCTGAATCTTGACTCTTGCTTGAGAAAGTAGAAACATGTTAGAAAGATTGTATAAAGGCCTTAGAAAAATTCTGGGCATGTGGCTTAGTGGTAGAGTTCTTGCCTGGCAAGTCTAAGACTCTGAGTTCAATTCCCAGCACTGCAAAAAAAGAGGAAGGGAAAAAGGAAGAAAGGAAGTAAGGAAATCTTTAGAATGCTCTAGTACACAAATCTTCATGCTTTTCTTTCACCCCAAGTGATTCTTACCATCTTTTATTTTGTCCTCAGCATTAACACACTTGGTGTACCCCTGCTTCATGTACAGCTTTGTGCCTTCTCAGCAAAACTGCACTTTCCATTCTTTTTGGATTTCATATACTTTACTTTAAAAACAAAAACAAAACAAAACAAAAACCCCTTGCATCTGATCTAGCTCAAACTTGGATTTGGAATTATGAGAATCCCAGAAGTCAAATTGTGATTTATCTGTGCATCCATTGCTTGAACACCTACTAAATGCCAGTACTATTCTGGGCAGTAGTTATAAAACTCTGAGCTCCATTTTGTCCTTATTGGTACTGTGTTGTAATAGGAATGACTTGAAATTTTAATGAAAAGATTTAGTATGTCAGTAATTGTGTTCTTAAATGAGTTTCAGTAATGCTTAGTAGTTGGGAGCTTAATGGACCATCTCTTGGTTTCTGCCAGTAAACCAAAAGCCTTCATATATGGTGAAAAACTGGACTAGGGATGTGATTCAGTGGTTAAGTGCCCCTGGGTTCAAAAAAAAAAAAAAAAAGAATGTCATATATGGTGAAAAACTGTGCTAAACCATCCTGAGTTTTGTTAATGTCTCTTACTGTTCCTAAGTGAATCTTCAAGTAAAGCTTTTATTTGTTTGTGTCTCTGAATTCTGTTTTTATAGGAGAGAACAATCAAAGTGAGTTAAGGACTGTTCAAGACAGAGAATCCCATGAAAAACTTTCCTGCTGGCAAATCTGGCAACAAATTGCAAATGACTTAACCAGGTGTCATGGCACCATAATAAATAATACTGAGGTCCACAAACAGTGTTATTCCCCCTGCCAGGTTGGGACAGGACTACCTGTTCAAATTTCTGAAGATGAGAATTTGAAACAGAATCATAAAGCTGATGGTCCTAGCCATACTGAAGACTCAGAGTTTCCAACTTTGAGAATCCAGGATTCTTGGAGGAAAACTTCCATGATTGAATCACAGAATTATCAGGGTAGATATCAACAGATTTCCATGAAAAATAAACTCTGTCAGTACAAACAGAGTATTGACCCCATCAGTTGGATTTTTTTACATCACCATGATGATCTTAAAGTAGACAAAAGTGAAAAATCTTATGGCCTCAATGAATATGGAAAAGAGAGCCTAAAGATTTCGACACTTTGTAAGCACAGAATGACTCCCCCAGAACAGAAGCCTTACAAGTGTAATGAGTATAAAAAAGCCTTCAGTGATTTCTCCAGCTTTGATCCTCAGCAGCAACACTCAGGAGAGGAGTCTCAGACATGTGCTGAATGTGGAAAAGGTTTCCATGACAGCTCAGTTCTTTGTGTTCATCTGAGAGTTTGCATGGAAGGAAAACATAAGTGTAATGAGTGTGGTAAGGAATTCAGCCAGAGCTCACATCTGCAAACCCATCAAAAAGTCCACACAAGAGTAAAACCATACAAATGTGAGCATTGTGGGAAAGCTTTTAGTCGTAGATCAGCACTTAACGTTCATTGTAAAGTCCACACTGGAGAGAAACCTTATAATTGTGAGGAGTGTGGGAGGGCCTTCAGTCAGGCCTCTCATCTTCAAGATCATCAAAGACTCCACACTGGGGAGAAACCATTCAAATGTGATGCTTGTGGTAAGAGTTTTAGTCGGAATTCACATCTTCAGTCCCATCAGAGAGTACATACAGGAGAGAAACCATACAAATGTGAGGAATGTGGGAAGGGCTTTATTTGTAGCTCAAATCTTTATATTCATCAGAGGGTCCACACAGGAGAAAAACCCTATAAGTGTGAGGTATGTGATAAAGGTTTTAGTCGGCCTTCAAGTCTTCAGGCCCATCAGGGAGTACACACTGGAGAAAAATCATACATATGTACTGTGTGTGGTAAAGGCTTTACTCTAAGTTCAAACCTTCAGGCTCATCTGAGAGTCCACACTGGAGAGAAACCATACAAATGTGAGGAGTGTGGGAAGAGCTTCAGGAGGAACTCCCACTATCAAGTTCATCTAGTGGTCCACACAGGGGAGAAGCCCTATAAATGTGAGGTGTGTGGGAAGGGCTTCAGTCAGAGTTCCTATCTTCAAATCCATCAGAAGGCCCACAGCATAGAGAAACCTTATAAGTGTGAAGAGTGTGGGCAGGGGTTCAATCAGAGTTCACGACTTCAGATTCACCAGCTGGTCCACACTGGTGAGAAACCATACAAATGTGAGGAGTGTGGAAAGGGATTCAGTCGAAGAGCAGATCTTAAAATTCACTGTAGAATCCACACAGGAGAAAAACCATATAATTGTGAGGAATGTGGGAAGGTCTTTAGGCAGGCCTCAAATCTTTTGGCCCATCAGAGAGTCCATAGTGGAGAAAAACCATTTAAATGTGAAGAGTGTGGGAAGAGCTTTGGTCGGAGCTCACACCTTCAAGCCCATCAGAAGGTCCATACTGGAGACAAGCCATACAAATGTGAGGAGTGTGGGAAGGGCTTCAAGTGGAGCTTGAATCTGGACATGCATCAGAGGGTCCACACAGGAGAAAAACCATATAAGTGTGGGGAGTGTGGGAAGCACTTCAGTCAGGCCTCAAGTCTTCAGCTCCACCAGAGTGTCCACACTGGAGAGAAACCATACAAGTGTGATGTGTGTGGTAAAGTCTTCAGTCGGGCTTCACAGCTCCAGTCTCATCAGAGAGTTCACACGGGGGAGAAACCTTACAAGTGTGAGATATGTGGTAAGAGCTTCAGCTGGAGATCAAATCTTACAATTCATCACAGAATTCATGTCAGTGATAAGTCCTATAAAAGAGATAGTAAGAATAAAGAATCCACACAGGAAGAAAGTTCTATAAAATGATGTTTTTTGGAAGACTCAAGTGTCATGTGAATCCTTCAGTTCCCCAAAAAAAGAAATTTGTTTCATTGAATTCAGTGTTTCAGCCTTAGCTCTTCATGTCCCAGTGGTTCAGAGCACATGAAGGAACTCTCATCATTGGTATACTAAAGGTTTCAGTCAGAACCTTGAACTTTCCCAAGTGCTACTCAGAAGAGAGACCTTAGGATGAGTTTTATCAGGGATTTTGCAAATAGTATTATCATTGATATGCCAAAGTTAGTGTCTGCTGGAACGATAATTTATTTCATAAATGGAGAGACTGCTGAATCTGCATAATCTTAGTATTGCTGAGTACTTCATTGGTACTATATTTAATAAATGGGGAAAATGTGTAACTGAAAATTGCATTGGAATTACATACAGAATATTGCAAATTTGTAATCAGAATTCTGAGATGTGAAAGTAACCATAATAAAAGTAAGAGAGACAGTTGAAAGGTAGAAAAACACTCAGTACTTCAAACTACAATGTTTATTTGGTATTAGCCCCATTATGATTATCACCTGTCCTCTGCCAGACTTTCTTAAGAAGCTGTGTCCTATCTTATTGGACTTTGCCTAGTGTTCTTTTGTTTTATACAGTATATTCAGTTATTTTTGTGACAATATAGAATGAAAATGAATCTTGTTCATCTTGGAATGGTAGGACTCTATCCTACTATTGATTTTTTTTTTAAAATATGTTTTTGGTCATAGAGAGACACACAATAATTATTTATTTTATTATTAATTTATTTTTTATGTGGTGCTGAGGATCAAACCAGTGCCTCACACATGCCTGGCAAGTGCTCTGCCACTGAGCTACAGCCCTAACCCCAACTATTGGTTATTTTCAACACCATTAAGACAGAGGTTTGTCAGAAGTTACTCCTGACAGATGTTTTTCATAGTAATTGTTGGAATTGATCATTTTCTTATTCTCTACTTTTTCATCTGTGTTCTAATGGCTTTAATAAGTTTAATCAAACATGTTGCTTCTTGGGGCATTGATGACTTAATTTTTCCTAGCAGTGGAAATGAAGGAGGAGCAACTTGGAAAAAGAATTGGTCAGGATGCAGAATGTGCATCCTTTGGTAGAACAGAAATTTACTACTAGGAGATTCAAATGAGTAGGAAGCACATCATTGAGGTTGCTGACTCTCTAAACATGGAAGTAAGCATTCACCAATATGAATTAATTTTTTAATTTAAAATTATACGTAAATTGTACATATTGGTGGTATGCTGTATGATGCTTCAATTAGTAATTTAAATAATTGTTTAAACTTATCTGCAATAACATCATTTAAAATGATGGCCAAGACTTATGACAATACAAGAATAAATTTAATGTAGTGTAGGGAGAGCACCTTAAACTGGTGTGTGTCCATGTGCACATCCAGTCATGTGTGACAGGTTATTTACCTTACATAATAAACAGCAAGGAGAATCTTCAGGGATTTTTCCACATTTAGCTTTTGCATTTTAAAATTTTCAGTGAGAATTTTTGTAATGAAATACTGTAAGTTCACAGTAACACTGGTAGTAAAACTATATCAAATAAAATTTGAAATATTACTAAGAATATGTTAATGCCTTAGGGTTAATGAAACATAGCATATAAGATCAAAATTAAGAAATAAACTCTGGAAATCAGTTATTTTTTAAAAATGGTATACTTGTTCAAACATACATTAGTGAGTGTGAATATCTATTTTCAGTTAATACACTTGAATCTCCTTGGGCATAAATCCATGCAGAGAGGTGTTTTTTCAGTAGTAGAAATTCATGCATCCTTGTTCTTGTGAGACTTGCCGGATAAATACAGAGTCCAGGGCACTACCTTGTCCTTTTTGGTGCTTGATCTGATTGGGGAAGTAGCTGAATTTTTCCAGACAGTGTGTGCCAAAGAGAATCTTGAGCTGTGGGGAAAAGGAATAGTGTGCAGGCTGTTTACAAAGTAACAGGGTGAGGCAGATCCTGAAGATGGAGAGTGGAAATATTTAAGTTCTAGAGGTGTATGTAGAGAGGACAGCTTGACTCAGTGGAGCCTAGTGATGGGAACAAGCAGCTATGCAGGGTTGAAGAGCAGTTTTTAGGCAATTCAGTTATCTTGGCTTTGGGGCGCTCTTCAGCAAAGGGTACATGTCATGAGAAAAGCTAAGTATGGAAAGACTATGCTACCTCAAGTCGTGCCACATATCACAAATCCTGGGTCTTTGATGTTTTGTATGTTCTTAGTAGGTATATCAGGATAGCTTACCAACTCTCAAGGTGATTTGTAGTTTAACAGGTTCAACTAGAGGTTGGCACATTACCTCCTTTTGTACAGATCCAGTCCAGAGCATTTGAAGCTATATTGGAATATGGCAGTGCCTAATTTATTTGTTGTCTATGCTGCTTTCTTGCTATGGAGGTAGTTTAGTTGTTGTGGCACACTATAGCCCACAAAACCTAAAGTATTTACATTCTGACCTTTTATAGAAGAACTTTGTTGACCACTGTGTTAAACCAAAATGATTGGTCTTTCATAACTGAAAAGATCACATGTAGTTCAGGGTTTAGACCTGGTTCAGTCAGGATTCCCAAATGATTTCCTTTTGGTTCTTATATCTGCCTTTCTGATTTACTTTATTTCTTAGGTTGGTGCAAAGATGGCAGTGGCAGCTGGGGACTACCTGCTTCTTCACAGCTGATGGGAGACAGCTGCATTTTTCATTTGTAGTGTTTGGTAGTTCACTCTTTACTCCCAATGTACATAGTATTCTGACCTTGACTCCCATCTATGGTCAGGATTAAACTTCTAGCTGTGTGTCTAGCTCCCTTGGCCTTTGTGGGCTATTGAGTTTCAACTCCCACTTGGCCTTCATGGCCTTGAGTTTTGGACCTCTGAAAGGTTTTTCTATTTTTGAGTTTTGACTACATACAAATATTTTAGGGAACTTTATATAGTATCAGCATATCTTTGTTGTTGAGAATAGAGGTACCAATAAGAAATTCAGTCAGTGGTTGAATGGCAACACATTGAATTCACAAACAGGCCTAAGGTCACAAGACATCAATTTTAAGTAGAAAATCCTGAAAAACTGGAATGGGAACATACAGCAGTAGGGCTGAGGGCTTTCACTTCCACACTTATCTAAGACCCTCCTTTGCCATTAGTAGGAGCTCCATCCTCCCCACTCTATGGACTGAAGAACCTATAATAACCTTTCCCAAGATAATTGGTCTTGCAAGGAGCTATAGATCTTTAAGACTTGCCTCCATTACCTCTAGTATTTTTAGACCTATAATAAGTTCTCACAGGCAATGAGGAAAGGAGTCTTCAGGTAAAAAGTATGACTATGGGGGCTGGGGTTATGGCTCAGTCTTAGAGTACTTGCCTAGGATGAGTGAGGCCCTGGGTTTGATCCTCAGCACCACAAACAAACAACAACAAATAAATAAGATAAAAATGAAATTCTTTTTAAAAAAGTATAACTATGACACTATATTAGGCCAGCCAAAATAATGATTTTTAGATTTTGTATCAATAGAAACCTTAGAAAAATATATGGTTGCAGGGCATGGTGGCACATGCCTATAATCCCAGCTACTTAGGAGGCTGAAGCAGGAGGATCCCAAGTTTGAGACCAGTGTCAAAAATTAGCAAGACCCTGTCTCAAAAATTAAAAAGGTCTGGGGATATAGTTGAATAGTAGAGTGCCCCTAGGTTCAGTCCCCCGTACTGCAAACCTGTGTGTGTGTGTGTGTAAAGAGAGAGGGAGGGAGGGAGGGAGAGTGTGTGTGTTTTGTACTTTAGGACATAGAAGTCAGTGGAAAGAATACAGTGATAGATTTGTTGGTGTGGATACACTGAACAGTGATTGCAGACCCACTATGTTAGCTTGAGCACCTGAGGATGTCTTCAACAGTTTGTTGAAAAGAGAAGTTGGCTAACCCTTAAGTTAAAACACTAGAACTTTGTAAGTATGTCATAGAACAGTTTCTCGACGTTGGCACAATCAACATTTTAGACTGGATAGCTCTGTTTTGGGGGGATTTTCTGCATCATAGGATGTTTACCAGCATCATTGACCACTAGCCACTAAATGCCCATGCATGCATGTCAGTTGTAATAGACAAAAATGTCTAGACACCTACTCAGGTGTTCCCAGAGGGCAAAAATCACTCCCAACTGAGAACACTGTTGTAGATGGTATACAAAGACATAGGAATGCTGACATGCTGGAAGAGATTTGACATAGAAAACCTGCTCACCCAACCCTGTATGGGCCTAGGAGTGTGGTGTCCAGAGGACACTCTTTACAAAAGGTATGAGAAATTCCCTGGGGAGGGGATCATTGGCATCTCAGAGAGCTCTGTAGCGACTCTTCTTATGGACCAGGAATAAAAGTGGGAAATTTTGACATACAAATGGAAACTTGATGATGTGAGGATGATGGGATCCTGGAATGTCCAGAGTCAAGTAGGGGTACCTCATTGGCAGAGACAAAGTAATTGTGTTTATCATAATGATCAGAAAAGCAAAGGATCATCAGAATGGGTTAATAGGAAGAGATTTCTGCATTCACTCATTGATTGTGGCATCCCTTTGGCTAAAGTAGATTAGAAATCTTGATTTGGTTAATTGGAAAAGCTCTAGATCTGGTAAATCAACTTAAGAGAGAATTGTGTCCCTTCATCTAAATTCTGTAATGTGAGTTACCACTTCCAGAGTACCTTGAATGAACGGCAGATCAGGTCCTCTTGAGGAAGTACCCTTGATATGCTACCCAAACTGAACTGTTTTATACTACTATAAATCATTCTAGCTTTCCCCAAAAGTGACTTGCAGCCATAGTTTGTGTGTATATATATTAGGTACATGGAAACAAATCAGAATTCAGAGTTACTACTGGAAACCACCGCTAAATTGACATTAACTTTTAGAACCCCAAAATGACATTGTGGTTTTCCAGTTAGTAGAGAGATTAGAGACAACAAAAAAG